GAGTGAACTAATGAGGAGCAAAAAAATTTTTTTTAGTTTTTTGGCTATTTTTACCACTTAAAACTGTTTCTACTGTAAACAATGTAGTGCTTAGTTTCTCTGCTCGTGCCTATTTTGCAAGTACCAACTTAGAAACCAATCTTTCCTATGGCCCTTTTTACCCACTCTGTGCTCTTATACTCTCTCTTCTCATCCCAACATTTCTCACCTGTTGATTTCGCCTGCTGTCAAGGCCCTAAGCGCTTAGCTATTGGCTATTTAGGTTTCAGCATTTCAATTTCATTTAGCACTAATCAAATAATCGAAAAATTTTTTCGACCAGAAATTAGCTTCTTTTGTCTTCTTTTTGTCTTTTATACCTAATATTTAAATTGATGGAACTTTTAGTCGCCTGAATGTAAGGTGAGAAAAACATGTAAAGAAAAAAGAAATTGGATGATTTGTTTTAGTAATTTTGAGGAAAGAAAATTTTGCAAGCGTAATGGTTAGAATCACTGGAACCATCACAAAGCAAACTCACATAAGTAAGAATAGAATTTAGACAGTTTCGCTTTTAATACACAGTAAGATAAGGTCTAACTATTGAACGTTAGACTGACGTGGTATTTCTCAAAGTTGATTGTTCTAGTTTAGGGTATTCCTCACAGAAATTTGCTAGCCTTTTGATCTGCATTTGCTAAAAACCTGAATTTTTTTATTTTATCTTGATACCTCTCAGTGACATAGGCCTTGTATAGAGGAGATGACTTTATAAATGTCGGATTCTGCTATTCGGATTCGGATTCCAAAGTGTAACAACGGTTTTTTTGTAGAAAATTGCACTTATTTACTCTCCTGCTGAAATTTTGCTCTTAAGCACTTGGTGGTCCTATATTTTGCTGGCAAAATACTAATATAGGGCAGGTGTCAAACGGTTGTTAATTATATACCGCTTCTAAAAATACTACGTGAAACAGTCATTAACGGAATTGTATTGTAACTGTAATCACCAGATTAAAAACGCTTTAGAGATGAACAACAACAACAAAAATGAAAAAAAAAAAAGAAAAGACAAAAAACAAAAATAAAAGAGTAGAAACAGAAGAATATTCAGCGATTCAAAAATTAATTTTTGATTGAATAGAGCAAAAAGTATAATTTTTTAGGCACTTATTTTTTTAGCAATGAAAAAATAAAATGAGAAGTTCATATTTTTGTTTATATTAGCTCTAAAACGCTACATATAGAGACTTCACATTTTCAGGCAGACTTGGGTGTTATGTTGGGTGTATACTTGCCAACAATTCAACATATCTTAGGTGTTACAATGTTTATTCGCCTTTTTTGGGTTGTCGGTATTGCGGGAGTCGGACAAACTTTCTTCTTGCTCTTTTTGTGTTGCTTATGTGTAAGTAAAATTACTTTTCTCAACTTTTTGAGAACTGACTTTCAAGAATTGAAGAACAACAGTAATAACAGTGACCAAATAATTACTTATTTCAAATTGTTCTTTTAAAATTTGTAAACAAAGCTTTCTGAAAACTTAAAAGCTGAAGCACTTTTGAAGAATTTTGACTAATTATTGGTGCAAAATTCTTATAGCAGTGAAGTCGAGTAACCAATAACAATTTGAAGTTCTTCTGTTCCAGACAGAGAACCAACAACAGCAATGCTTTACCATACTGCCGTTATTCTATTTTTGGAAAAATTTAACTACGGTTAAGAATAACTAATATATTGGTTGAGATTTGGGAAGCAAAAACGTAAAATTGGTTAAATTCAGAAAAAGCCAAAAAAACAAAATTTTTAAAAATTTTTTGCAGACAAAAGTATCAGATCACTGGTTAGAAGCGAAATTACAGAAATTTTTGTTGTTCTATGTAGTAATAACAACTCCTAAAAGTTCAGAAAACATGAAAAAATTTTATAAATTGTTGTTCTTCAGATTTATCTTTAATCACTGATTAATTTTATGCAGGTTTATTAGAGGTGACAATTATTCCTGAAGTGTTTTATGAAAGTCGAAAAACTATTGTTTGACGTAACCAATTTTTAACTTTATTTCCGACTATGTAATATTTTATCGCTATTAAGAATCATTAGAGTAAAGCAAATTTTTGGATTTGTAGTCTGGTTACACGAAAATGCACCGAAGTAGAATTGAACTCAACTGCAGCAGAAGTGAGAAATGTGATCTTCGCTAGACGCTGTATTTAAAATATAATTTTTCAGACTTTACTTACCAGTATCAGCTTGTCGGCTGTAGCCACCAATGGAGTAATAGAAAGCGGTGGAGCTTATTTTATGATATCGAGAAATTTGGGCCCTGAATTTGGATCGGCAGTCGGAATTTTATTTTACTTGGCAAATACAGTTGCAGCTTCAATGTATTTAGTTGGCGGTGTAGAAATTTTATTGGTATGTGTCACTTCTGCTTAATATTTGCAAAAAAAGATTAGCTAAATAACTAATTCACCCTTTTTTTATTCAGTTAATGTGTACCGGACTACCCCTTAATTATTCATTAAATTTTTTCTATTTTAGTTGTACCTTTGTCCATGGTTAACAGTCGGTGGTCCAGAGGTGCATTCAGATACAGGTAAACTGAAATTTGCTAAGAGTAATTATTTTTTACCAATTACATTTCTCTCAACCCGTCAAATAATTTTATCGTTTGACTCATTCTTACTATCGTTGCCGATGAATGACATTAAAGAAAGCATTGCTGTTGCAGTCGACGATTGAGCGAATGTAGTAGAAAAAAAAACTAAGAATGCTTCCAAACTTCTAAGATTTTTATAGATTTTAACCTAAAAAATATAGTGTAACAGAGCCCAGATTTATAAATTTGAGAAACAGACAACACGACGAATACTTCTAGTAACAGGCAAACAGAGTTGGATAGGAAACGAATGAGAAAATTTTTCAAAAAGATTTTTAAAGTTAGAAAAGTTTTTGAAAAAGTTATTTTTCTAATTAAAGACGTCATTTTAGTTTTCCTAAGAGTCTGAAGTGGGCTGTCTCTATAAATTTGAAATAAGGAGCTTTTTATAACACAATTTCTAACAACTTGTAATTTCGTTTTCTTTAACTTAAACAGTGCGGAAATATACGGGTAAATGTCACATCTGCAATATTTGCTTCTATTCAGGTTTTATGGGAATGATGTCACATAATTTGCGACTCTACTCATCAGTTCTTTTGTTGGTCGAGTTTGCCATCGTTGCAATGGGTGTCAGATTTGTGCAACTACTAGCTCCTGTAAGATAATAAGTGAATGCAAAAAACGAGTTTTATGAATCCAAAAAAGCAAAAAAAAATTTATTTTTAAAGCAGACCACGCAAAAAAAATTCTAATCATTCTTATAATAATGCCACTGAAGAAGCAATTTACTGTTTTAATTGGTTCATTAAATAGAGGTTTTTGATTGAAAAAAAAGTGACAGTTAAATAAATTTTTATGCCTTTTGATTCGTTTATTAATTAAACTTTTTTGGTTAATTTTGTTCTTCTTAATGCTTGTTTTTACTAGTTTAATCTATGTTTAGATGTCTTTATTGTGTGTCATTTTGTCTATTCTCGCGTGTTACGCAGGAGGCATTGAGAAGACAATATATCCAACAAGTGGCCAACAGTAAATTTTGAAAACAAGTCTTTTTTATTTTTTTAAGATCTATATCTTCAACCTTCACCTTTGAAAATTTTGAAAACTTATTGATAAATATACCTGTTAATTATTAACATACAGTATAAGAATGTCTAGTATAGGAATAAAGTTTGTAAAAGTTTTCTTATAGTGGACAAAAAGTGTAATATTATTTAGTGTCTGTATGCTGGGCAAACATTTACTGCAAGCTCGTATAGTTCTACCAGCTGGAGTACCTTTGTCTGAGATGTGCTATTTTTGTAACAGTTCTGTCGAGTAAGTTCTCTGAATTTGCTGGATTATGGTTTCCAGATAGTACTTTGTCAGAAGAAATTATAATTGTTTTATTTTAACAAGATACCTCAGATATGACTGCTTCTTAAATGCACTTTTAAATTTTGATAATTTACAAAAGCAAAAAAGATTTCACATCATACGATTACTTGAAAAACATGGTGACTTGGAATTCTAACACTTGTTTTGGTTTCTGCTGCTAATTCAAGCCAGGCTTACTAGGCTGTATCTCAAGTACCGTTTTTGGTTAACTGCCATCAAAGAGCTAGCAAACCACAATCAGTTTTACCTTGCATGAGCTGTATTTCAAAAAAGAAAAGGTAATGTGTTATTAGTGGTCCGTTATTGGAAACATTTTGTCCAAAAGGTGACTGTTCCGAAGCATTTGTTAACAACGATCTACGGTGTGTCAACGGTTTTCCAGGATTCAGAAGTAATGCCTTCATTGGTGAGTCAACTTCCTTTGTTTACAGCAGCCAAAAACAGTCTTATTTTTTCATCTTGAAATTTTGCGAGAGAACTAATTGCAGAAAATTTGGGTCCAAAATATTTGGAGAAAGACGAGTATATGAAAGGACATCAAGCGGACAAAAGTTCTGAGGTTTTCCAGGATGTAACAACTACCTTCTTCGTTTTGCTTGCAATTTATTTTCCTGCCGTCACAGGAATTTTAACAGGAACAAACATGAGCGGTAAGTCGACAACTGATTGAATAGCAAAGAAGATTTCGACAAATAAAAACAGTTTTTTAAATAGGTACCGAATATATTTTAACGTAGTGGGTAATAATTACTTTAATTTTTTTAATTGTTTCCTGCTGTTTGTCTACATCAGAGGTTTTTAGGTGATCTGAAGAATCCTCAGAAGTCAATTCCGGGTGGCACAATAGCGGCACAGATTACTACTTCCTTTATATACTTCTCTCTTGCTTTGGTTTTTGGAGCAGCTATTGATGGAGCTCTTCTGAGAGACAAGTAAGGATGTCTGTTTTTTAATTTTTGGACTCACCTTTAAACTATTTTTACTAAGAATAAATTTGAACAACTTACTCGTCGTAGTAGCTGAATAATTTGATCATTTTCTGTCACTTCCAGGTACGGTCAGTCGTTAGCTGGCGGAATGATTGTTGCAAACTTAGCATGGCCGAGTCCTTGGGTATTACTAATCGGGTCGTTCACTTCTACTTTTGGCGCTGCATTACAATGTCTATGCAGTAAGCGAATTCTCAGCTTATGTTTCATTCATTCTACAGGATTGGTAAAACATTGCGATTAGTGTTATTTGCACAGTGGTCACTAAATTTATAGGTGCTCCACGACTACTACAATCGATAGCGAAAGATGATGTCATTCCAATTCTAAGCCCATTTGCACAAGTGACCAGAAGCAACGAGCCATTCAAAGGGTAAATTATACTCCATTCATTACACTTCAGGTATTACACTAGTAGACAAAATAATTATGATAAAAGCTTACTTACAGACTAGTATTGACGACAGTTATTGCTGAATTTGCTATTCTATTGGGAGCTATGGACGAAATTGCCGCCGTTGTGGATTTCTTCTTTTTGATGTGTTATGCCTTTGTAAATCTAATATGTGCTCTTCACTCAATTTTAGGTGCACCAAATTGGCGTCCACGATTCAAATTCTTTCATTGGTAAAAGCGTTTACAGTACTTTTGAAATCTGCTTCTAAAAAAGAAAAGAAAATTTTGCTGTAATTAGAGAATGTTAATCTGAAATTTTTTTAACTTACAGGTCTTTTGCATTCCTTGGTGCTGGCTTATGCTTCTTTATCATGTTCAGCACTCACTGGGAGTATGCAATAGTTTCTTGTGCGTTATGCTTAGCTATCTACAAATACGTGGAGTGGAAAGGGTATGAAAATTATGCTTAGTGTAGCGTGATTTTTATTAAGTATTGCTGCTGTATTTTGACCGATTAATTGTCATTTAGAGCAAAGAAAGAATGGGGGGACGGAATTCGTGGTTTGGCCTTAACAACTGCCCAGTATTCGTTAATGAAGATCGATGAAAGAGATCCACATCCAAAAAATTTTCGGTATTATTATGCTAACGTATCATTTCTGTTAGTATGAACGAATCATGCGTAAAAACAAATAGAAAATTGTTGCAGGCCGCAGTTACTGCTTTTGCTGTCGATGCCTTGGTCTAAAGAAATTGTTGACGTACGATATCTGAATTTGCTTCATTTTGCTTCACAACTGAAAGCTGGACGTGGGCTAAGCATTGTCGTGTCGTTAATTCGGGGAGACCCATCAAGCTCTGAGGAAAGGAAAAAAGTCGAACAGGTCAGGTTAAACGCCGATGTGGACGTTAGATTGTTGTTTATGCTTAAATCAGAAGTCACTGAGGCGGTAGAATATATTTACTTGTTGGTCAAATAGTATCTGACAGGAAGTTCTAGGTGAAAAATCGTATATGTTTCGATATGGGCCAAGTAAGACTACATGGATTTGCAAAAGCACTGATTTATGGCGAAACTCAGGTGGGTCTTTGGAATCATTTTTTTAGATCAAAAAACTGACTTGTTTTACGTGGAGTTTTACGGCAGGAACTGCGGCAAAAAATGGATTGTTTGATTCAGATAGGAGGTTGCGTTTCAACTGTTATACAGAGCGCTGGAATTGGCGGTTTAAAACCGAACACTCTTCTCCTCAGTTGGCCACTTCATATTAACAAGGGAGAATTGGATTCTGAGTATCACACATTTACAGGTAGCGTAAAGACGTTGTCATTTAGAAACCTGCTTATTAACAGTAGTAATTTTCATGCTTACTCTGAATTAGTTTTTGCATATTTAGACAAACTGTTGGCTGGAGCTGCAATGGATATGTGCCTTTTAGTGGTTAAAGGTATAACTGAATTTCCAGTGTCTGTAATACGTCTTACTGGCAAAATAGATGTTTACTGGATAGTCCAAGACGGTGGTTTATGCGTATTAGTAGCGTATTTGCTAAGACAGAGCAAGGTTTTAAACTCGGTTTAATTGACTGAAAAAAACTTCTGCAGTCATTCAAGCTCGACAGATGTAAAATTGAGAATTCTAGTCGTTTATATCGTTGAAGCAAGAAATTATGGATTTCTGCTGTTGAAATTTAACTAAGAAATAACTGGTTGTACATAAAACTATTATTACAGGTGTGGCGTGGATGCAAATTAAGAGTGATAGCAGTTGCGCAGGAACGAGATAACAATACAAAACTTCAAGGAGATCTTCAGAAATATGTCTATCAACTACGTGTTGATGCTGAAATACTGGTTTGCCAATGTTATCACTTTCACTTATTTTATTTCAGTTCTTTTTACTGTAAATTGAGTTTAGGTTGTTGAATTGGCAGATCCAGAGATATCAAAAACAGCTTTTGAGCGCACACTCTTAATGGAAGAACGTACGAAATTGTTTCATGAAATAAACACGACAACAAAATCACACATTCCGTTACCACCACTTCCAAGAACAATGGTATTGCTTTTACTCAGAAACCCTTATCCATCACTGATAGTTCCTTTTTTATTTTGAGATTTTTACACAACAAAATTATCAAATCTTCTGTATCTAACATTTGTTTTCGCAGTAAACATTGGTATTGTGTTGATAAGTGCATCGAAGACACGGTATGCAAGGTTTTAAAAATTCTCTATTTTTAAAAGCACAAAAAACACTTTTAGGCACCAGTTCAAAGTAACGAATCGTCTATAACAAGTAGTGAAGCTGAAGAAAAACCGGGTAATTTTTTGACAAAACCTTTTGTAAAGCAGACTTTTTATTGTTTATTCCTTTTCAAAAAATGTCATTTTTGCCTTTTTAGACAGAACCGACGATGACGATGCACAGTCGTCACCAGACGACTTGAAGTAAGCAACTTTATTGCTTCTCATCATTTGCGACGCCTAGTTTGTTTTATTTCTAATTTTAATCAATTGAGGCTAAAAGTAAGACAATTAAAACTATCTTCTCACAAATATAAAAAAAAAACGTATGCATTAGAAGACATTTTTTACGTCTGATTTAAATAACACAGTACAAACAGCTTTATCTGCTTTGCATAATGATTAAACCAATAAGGCGAAGCATTTTGAGCAACTTCTGAAGATATGTGCAACTTACAATTATGAAATATTTTTCTGCTTGGTTCTTCTGGTTTTGTTAAAAATGGTAGGAAGATCTCTAGACTTACTTATTACACACGCTGTTATGTACGTAGTAATTCAAAAGAAAAACCTTGTATTTTGAAGTTTGAAATTGGAAAAGACAAAACTTGTAAGTAATTAGCAAGAAATAATATTAAAAGAAAAAGAAACAGAAAAATTTTATGGCATTATACAGAAAGTAAAAATGGATTTGCTGGTTAGGTTACGTTATCGCTGCACACTACAAATTGCTTTAGTCTCAGCTGCAAAGGTAATGTGAGTACATTCAGCCTTAGCTTGTGCTATATTCAATTACAGTTGCAAGACTGCATATGTATGCTTGTGGTTGTGCATGAAACTTTATCTATTTAAAGGATGAGTGATGTTGCCAGGAAAAAGTATTGGTTATTCACTTTTATCCCCAATTGTATGCAATATTTATCAAACCTGTGCTCTTAGCTGCTATGAGACTGCCGTTGCTTCTGCATTACGCTGTTTGTAAAGACAGTGAAGAAACATTGATTAAATATTTAAATTTGGAAACAATATTTCGCACTTTTTCTTTTCTCCTAAACAACAAAAAAATAATTTATATTTCTTTTATGTAAGCTAAAGTTGATGTATATCTTTGCCAAATCAATCAAAAAATACTTGTGGGGTTCTTGCCTCTAATTGTCAAATTTCTTCTCTTTTTTAAATAAAGCACTTATCATTAGTGGAAGGAAAAAGAAGCTTATTTGGCTGTAGATCAAAGAAAAGGTTGTGGAGAAGACAGAAACAAAATCAGACAGCAAAATTTAGCCTCGTACTTTTCTTGTTAAAAATTACACTTTAACTAAATTTGATCTAATCATTAATGCTTATCAATTCTAACAAAGTTTTAGAGGCAAAAATTTTGTTTAGACAATACTTTTTTAACATTTTTTTTCTCGTGTTGCATTTTCTGTACTGTATCTGCCTTGAAAAGCTTTTATCAGATTGTTTATTTTACAATTAGCAGCTATTTTGTCAGTCCAAATTATTGCGAAATTGCTGTGGTTGAACCAACACGAAAATGTAGCTACACCTTTTACGTTACAACTTCGTGTAACCTTTTCAGGAAAGAAAATGAAGAAAGGAATAAAAAACTACGGGCTTTGGACAAAAAGAAGGTCGGTCACTGAAAAAACTTCTTCTCTTGACTTCTTCTTTCAAACACATTTTTATAAGTCGCTTAAAATTTCAAAAAATTTTTCTTTTTCAAAAGTAAAGATGAAAAAACATGATAAAATAATTTTTGGTCAATAGATTTCAAATTGTTGGGCTATAGAAAGCTAATCGATTTAACTGATTTCACAATTTGATGTACTACCACTGGGAATTATCAGCCCGAAAACTTTTTTGTTTTACGGCCAGCAACTGCTGCATCTACTGGTTTCAGGTTCGAAAAATGCATACGGCTGTCCGGTTAAACGAACTGATATTAGAGCATTCGTCAGACAGTCAACTGATTCTACTAAATCTACCAAGGCCTCCAGCTGAGAAAGAAGGTGAGCGAATAATTTTCAAGGTGTATTGAATGTGTTAACTAATCAGTTTTATTCTCCATCTACTTTTTTCAAATTCCATCAGTGTTATTCAGCAAGAAAAGGAAATAAGAATTTTTCAAAAAAAGGGTGAAAAGCATCTTTATAATTAATAGTTTTTCCTTGGTAAAAGTTTTTTTTTTGCTTTCACTTTTCTCCTGAACTACCACCACTTTAAGATTTGCGCGAATAATCCAAGATAAACATGGAAAACGTCGTAGAGTAGCAAAAAAAAAATTTTACAGGTTTTCAGTAATAGGTTTTTTTTTTACATTTGGCCAAAAGGGAAATGACATTGTATCAATAATAACTTCCATAACTAAGTTTCTTTTTTTTTTCTGTGAAAAGGGAGCGAGAGGAAAGAGGTCAATATAATGAGAAAACTAATACGTAAAGCAGCTGATGTAGTTTTATAGTGTTTACCTAACTAACGTACATCGTATTGTAATACAAAGATATTTTGAATTTATCAACAATAGTTTTTACTGTCATCACTGCTGTCAACACCACCAACTGTAAAACCAACAAGAAATTGATGGTATTTTGAAGCTTTTTTTTCTGTCTGGTATATATTGGCATTACTGTTATAGGTTTGGACGATTATATGCATTATTTGGAAGTTCTATCCGATAACATACAACGAGTGTTGTTTATTCGTGGTACCGGAAAAGAAGTTATTACCACATATTCTTAACAAATAATTTGTCGGTTGAGTATAGTGCTTACCATTTGTGACATATTCTAATTACAATAGTCTGGATGACAAAAAAGAAAGGAGAAGAAAAAGAAAAAGGCAATTATAATTGTTGAGAGGAAGATACTATAACAATTACATATCATTAAAAAAAGCATTTTTAAGATTTTTTCTGTAAAGATGATTCTAATTGTTCATGCAATCGTTCACTACAAATCGTATTTTCTTTTCCTTCTCCCTCCTTTTGGTCGTTCTCTTTTGCCTTTCACCTCCAGTCTTCTGCCGTCCACTGAAGCTCATAGTTTCTGTGCTGTGTTACGTATGTTTTTTTTTGTATGCCTATTTGCTCCAAAGCCCTCAATTCCTTTTATATCTGTTTTATCAATTTTTGTTAAGTTTTTTTCCTAGACAAAAAAAAAACAGTCTTTTTTTTTCACCTAAACTGATGTACACATTTTCTTCCTGATAGTTATCTATGCTATGTTCGTGAAAACAAGAAAAAAAAAACAAAAACAAGAAAAGGATACAACGTCAAACAGTAACAACGGCAGCTACGACAACAACATCAGCAAACGGTAGTAAGGAAAGAAAGACAGAAACAGTGCGAACAAACAGCGCTTAATGAAAGACTGTACGTAAAAAAAGCAAAAAAAAGTAGTGTTTTGTCAAAAATGTATCATTTATATAAATTCATTATTAAATTTTTCTTCGTGTTTTTTTTTTTTTTTTTTTTTTTTTTTTTTT